CTGCCATAAAAGACACAGTTAAAAATATATCTCAAAACCCTGACTTTCCTTGTACAATAAAATGTAATTTACGTCCCTTGTAGGGGTAGCATTTGTCAGGGAAGGTGGAGACGAAACTATTTTTGTAAATGATTTGTGTGTGTATAAAGAATATTAAGGGACATCGTTTACTTAAATGTTTATTTCTTTTTCATTTACTGGTAAATAGGTTAAACAAGCACTTATAATGATGTATAAAAGCAGATGTATCTTCTAAGTTAATTAAAATTACAGCTTCCACACGTCAGCTATTCGACAAAAGTTCTACTAGTTTCGAGTCAAGGCGGGACTTTTTCATAAGTAGCGTGTGCGGCCCGGCGACACATCGCGCAGTCATCCGGCTACTCTAGCTTGTAGAGGCAGTTGATTGCAGTGCTGTTAGACGAAGACGACGTGACCCTTGAGACATCAAATCAAAATATGTAATGTCTATTAGAATTTAGCAGAATCGTACAGATATCCTATTTGACAAATTCTGTGTGAACACAATACTATATTTTCTTAAAGCAATGATGATACTCCTTAAATAGCAAAATTATAATCCCAAAAACAATACCTACTTTGGTGTTTATCTTTCCAAAATTTATCCAAATCGTCTAAATTCTAACAATCACACAACAGTTCCTGATTCTAAGGAATATTTCGAGTAAATTAATTATTCACGCGAATTAAACCTGTTAAATTTGATTAGATTTGCAAAGGAAGTTATAGGTAACAATCCTAAGATCCTTTGGTGTACGTAACTGCTTTCGTAACCAACTTGGTGTTATAAAGGAGTTTAGTAGCGCTTGTTATGTTATAGCTAAGTTTGAACTGTAGCAGAATTATTGTAGATTAGTCTAAGTGGTCAATAGTTACACGTTTGATGTTCTAAAAGTTTCTTCTCAGTAGGAATATATTAATACATCTTTAATCTTCAAATGATGAATAACTTTGATTATTGAGATACCTACATGTACCTACAATACTAAATACTTTCTGTTACTTATTTAAGTCAATATTTTTGTCTACATCATATAGGGGAATGAAATTAATAATGCATTGCTCGAAATCGGAAACAATTTTCAATTACAATTTAATTTATCATTATTCTACAGCTTGCTAAAATGTATATTTTTTATGGGATAAACTAGCAAACGAGCATACGGATCACCTGACGGTAAGCAATCAGCGTCGCCTATGGACACAAGTGCGTTACCGGCCTTTTGGGGATTAGAAATTTGAGAATTCTTAGGGATTCAGGAATTGGAGAGATTGGAGGGGAGTGTAGTTAGGCCTCTGGTAACCTCACTCACACGACGAAACTGAACGCAAGCGTTGTTTCACGTCGGTTTTCTGTGAGGCCGTAGTATCACTCCGGTACGGCCCATTTGTGTAAAAGCATAGCTCTCCCACACTAATAAATTTATTAAGGTATCAAAGAATCAATCATAATAAGTTTTCTGCAGAAAAAAATATAAAGTTGATATTTCACAACAGACATACCTACATAAATAAAGAAAAATTGTACCTAAATATTTTCAATATCATTCTTATTAAAATATCTATTCTCAAGCCTCGAACGCCTATCAGACGCCATCTTATCCTTGACCGAATACATGACTTAATTTTCATTCTACTGGCCGTCAGATACTTTAGCATTACCTAGAAGAACAGTTGTAATTAAGAAGCTTAGCTATTATGCAGAGAAACCCAGTAACAAAAGATAGGCCAGGCTTTAATAATTGTCTGTCGAAAAACATAAAGCGATCGTGATTCTGTGAATATTTCAACTATAGATTCCAAGATATTTAATAGCCCATAAACGATGAAAGGATCAGAAATATGATAGACGAGCTTTGTTGGTCTAGGATAATTGGAAATTTTGATACTACAATTATTTAATAGTATTTGTTGGAACAAATGTAACATTTATAATATTGAAATCTAATCGTGTTCAGCAGTATCAGTGTACGGGAATCGACCAGACAATCTACAAAAACAAGTTAACTTAGTAATACATTACAGTTACTACTAACAAAGTTAATTTCAAAAGCAAAATAAAGATAACCTATAAACTTATAACTAAAACAATTACCTCAGTAGTCGTTCGCACCCATCAAATACTCAACAGATGAAAACAAAAAGTACCTATAAAAAATATATTCATATTTTTTATATTCATAAATTTAAAAACTCACCAGCTTCACAAAATTTTGCTGTTTTTCAACCCTTAAACAAACGAGCACTCCATTTTATTCCAAACCCATATCAGCATGGAAACTGTCCAACATTTGTTCGGTTAAAAGCCGCTCGTTTACATTAAATGCTCTACCAACACCAACATCAGTTAGTCTGTAGTAAATTTTGCTAATAGTTCAAAAAGAACATTGTTCAGGACCCCTACAAGCTGTTTACGCATCCTTACATCCTTCGCCGTGATTTGTTGCCAGCCTTTTATTTTTATTGTCTTTTATTTTTTCATCTGTGGCTCATTCGCGAACTCAAACCCCTCTCGCGAAAATTTGCTGCTCCACGTTTTAATTGAGAAAAGTATTTATTGTTTCAATATTGCCCGATATTGACGGTATTTTTTATCCTCATATTTCCAAATTTTTTGATTTGCACGCTTCGGATAATGGCCAAAATATTTTTTATGAAAACAAATTTTGTGAGTCGGATAATTTATTGAAGACTGGTTATTACTGTTTTAACAGTAAATTACGAAAAAGTATGAAGCTATTATTTTTCTAGTAAGTTATTTAATTCATCTCACCGTCTACTACATGGGACTCATAACATAAATAGTGAAAAGTGGGTGTTACATTGTACCTACAGTGGCATAATGTGCACCTCAGCCTTCTTCTTCGGGAATAAAAGGCATGATGTTATGTCTTAAGAAAATCTTGAACTAACACTAAATGATAAACGAGCACGCTTGTATGCTATAGTTACCTATTTTTTTTACCTACTTACATTTGGTTCAAATCATAATTATTGTATGAAAGGCAAAATAATGGCCAAACTCAATTGAACCATTTTCCTCCTCCTGTTCAATTTAAACTACGGACTATGAATTCTTTACGTTTCTTTCTTACATTTGCCGTACCTAAGGTACTCTTGTGCTAAAATTCATGTTGCTAGACCAAACTGTTTAGGCTACACATTATGTCTCAAAGAATTTCAAAAACTTTATACATACAATCCTTTGTCAGCAATATTCCTAGAAATTTTCAATCCTGTATGAAATTTCCTTTTGAAGAAAACCTTTTATAGACCTTCAGAGAGCTGATAAATTAATTAGGAAATGTAATATTATAATATCTCTTTCCGCCCTTATTTCATATTGCTTGACAACAGATGCGTCTTTTTCTATCGTTTTTCCCTATTAATTAAACGTCATCACAGCATGGCCTATGACCACCTTTTACTTTCATAATATTATATTCCCCTACACAGTTAATATAGACATTATTCAATAACAAATAACTGTATATCTATAAAGAAACCTATGTTATACTAGTGTTAATTAACATTCTGATTTACTTTTTCATTAAACACGAATAATGTAATTTTTAAATGATAATTAGTATGATCATGTACTAAGCACACAGGAACCATTGTATATTCCGTTCAACGGTGTAGTACAATTAATATTGACTCGTAATATTTCATTTGTTTTCGACTTGAGAACGTACGTTTAATGTTTTTCAAGTAGTATTGGTTGTATCGAAAATATACTGGGTAGATTATAAAACAAAATCTGAACAATTTAGGCCATCCACGACGCAGCCCACAAATGACGTTAGGCTAGGAGTGAGTTGAAGTTTCATGGACACTTTTCATTGTTTCTAAGCAACATTTACGGATTTATCATTTGTAGACCGCCTATTGTCCTTTGTAGGTTGCATGCATTCGTCAAATACGGGTCGCGTCGTGGATAATAAACCTTAATAATAGGTCTAATAAACCTGCCAATTCCTTTATCTTCGCGTATCATGTATTCTTTCTTAAGTGCCATACAAAAATACAATATCCACCGACAAGTATTATGTCTGGGGGAGCATCAAAAACCGCGTTTCCAGTAACTCCGCCATTGTCTTCGAAAAATATTTCGTGATATTTCGTTTCCTTTACAAAATTGCTTTAAGGGCCTTTCACCGAGAGTGGCAAACGCCAAAGAAAAGTTAAACCAATTATTCGACAGTAAGAAATATCAAAGCGTTTGTTGTAACGAAGTTATGGATTCATTTATAGATTTCACGCTACTTGGATATCTTCGATCCAATCATATTAATGTTGTTAATGAAATGTAAAAAGAAAATTAGATTTGTTTTTTTTTAAACTTGAACATGTTCCTCCTGCATACTAGGCTTATTTGTTACAAGGTAAGCTTATGATAGTAATGTATCCATATTGATTCTTGTCACGGAGTTAAATATTAAGTAACAAAAAAAACTCGAACAACTACGATCAAAGACCATTTCCATTCAATCATTTGGTTTAACATCCAATCAACAAGAGCGACAAGATTTTAAATTTGATTACTTCAGTCAAGAATGAATGTAAAAGAGAATTAAAACCTGCGCTAACAACGACTCCATTGTGATTAAAGTGAAAAATTAGTCGGAAAATTTTGTCCCTGTCTATCTTGGGTTCCACTTTGTTACGTTGACGAATCACTCGAGTGTACAGAACCCTTCGGACGAACTTGGACCAAAGTTTTATTTCGTTATCTCTCCTGGACGGAATCGAATTGTACAATTTTTGTAGCTCTATTCAATATTTGGAGTTTTATAAAATTGACGTGTTTTATCTATTACTCTAAACCTTTTTGGAAGTATTTTTCAGAGGGCGTCCATAAACCTAGTTGCGAAAATAGTTCACGTTCAATAAAAAACAAAAATGTGTAATTAAAGTCTCATAATTACCTATTAAAGAGCCTTCATATCAACGTATTATAATTATATATAGACACTTACCACATCAATCAGAGAACATAGTCAACATTCATTAACTCGTCACCACCACTTTAGAAACACTAAGAATTTTGACCTAAAAAAAGAAATAAAAAAAAGTTTGAAGTTCACTTCGAAGTCAAATTAATTCACAATAACTATCAATCGGAATAATTTGAATCAATGATAAACTTTGAATATTAATAATCGGGATGTTTTATCGAACGAGTGGGAACGGTGCGGTCGGGGATCAGACGTCCTGCCCGCGCGACGTTTCACTGGAGACTGGTAGTGAAGCTGAAAATCTGAAATATTTGACGATCCCTGTGGGCAGCCACCCGCTGCCGAGAAGATAAGTCCAATAGTACTTGCGCTAAGCTGATTACGAGACTTGTTTCAGATTTCTCTATCTTCAATGTTCAAGTTTACAGATTATGGACACCTTAAGGACCAGTTAGGAGATTGTTTTGGTGTTATTATTGGGCAGTATTATTTTGATGCTGTCGTTTAATCTTTATTTGTTGGCATTTTATATAAATAGCTTAGAGACAGGTACGCTTTTAAGTTTAATTCCTTTGTTGATTTTGTTTGCTTATTGACAATGAATGAATGTAGCTGTCACATAGAACTTTAATGACTACAAAGGATTCTTTAACTTGCTTTGGAAAGCACATTAATTTCTGTGTGGAATAAAAAGACTTATCAAGACTGGGACTAGACCGCACAGTAGAATTAAATAAAAATGACGACCTCAGAAAATAGTTGAGATCATATTGTCACATTTGAGCACATTCTTTCTACGAATAAAATGCTCGTAAAAATAATTATAGAAGTATAAAACAAATTCTATTCTTATAACAAAGTTTGTTCACTTATAAAGACTTTGAAATATATGAAGACATCACAAAAATTGATGTTCAACATCTATGACAAAATTACGAACATTATTCAGATTGAAAAAATAAAATCTCAGTTGTACAAAAAGTAAAGTTTTGTAATAACTAGCTTTTCGCCTGCGACTTTGGTACAGAATTTAGATTTTTCTTATGTAAGTTAACATCCTGTAGAAATATTAGATTGGATCAAAATTTTCCTATTGCGTTCCCTGCAGCTGTAGTCAAATGCCATTTAGCGCTTGTCTACATGTAGAATAGAAAACCAAATTATATGGAATTAACGTAAATTTTGACACTTGTCAGTGTCATCTCCATACATTTTGATTTCTACTCTCTATGTAGACAAGCGCTAAAGTGGCATTTGGCTACAATTGCTGAAAAGTAAACTGATCAACAGTATCTATTAGATTTTTTTTAAGCATGACACTAAAGAGTGTCTACATTTATTTGCGATCAAACTAACAAACAAACAATGAAATGCTTCTTTTTACCCCCTATATAGATAAGTCTAAAATCTTTAGTTACTTTTCGAATAAATAAATTGGCGCAGTATCGTGCTTAGACTATCTGCTTACCTATTTGTTTTATTCGATTTGCCTTGAGTTAAAATTTTCTTTGCGGTGTGAAAGAACTTGTGTTAAATTACTCGACAGTTATATAGATAGATATACATAAACTCGTTCTATTCTTTTGTATGTTCATTTGAAGTTAGGTTTTTTTATAAATATTATTCTCATCATTGACGTAACGTTATTTTTTGTGTAATAATTAAATACAATAAAAACTTAAAGAACAATATTAACTTTTACAATAATTATCCTCGACCCAGACGTCGAACCGAGATCCGTTTAGATATTTGCTAACGTCGTTTCCTTATTCTTACTTACCCCTTTACGGAAAATAACACGTAATTTATATTATGTTATGAGTATAGGTATATATCTGTATAACCAGTTTTTAGAAAACCCATACAAACTTGAATTAAAGTTTAAAATGCGGAATCCATACAAAAGTTAAGTTTGTGGTTTCCTACTTTTAACACAAATTAAAAAAATATTATTAAAACACGGAAGTTTTGATGTAGGTACCTACCTATCTTATACTTTTCTTTGCTACATCACTACAGTCAATCTAATAAAGATTAGAAGAATGCACACCTCTGTTTCATGCAATTATTACTGTAGCTCACGTATTTCATTAATTCGCGCTAAACTTTATGATAAGATCACAAATAAATAGAAAATTACGTAGAAAACGTTAATAAAACATTGTAAAACTATTTATTTTCTTTAGATGGAAATGCAAAGTATTTCATTACTGTACCAACCATTGTGATAGTGAATGCACCTCTTTTCTAATTCATTCATAACAAGTCTGGTCTGCTATCTACTTTTTAATTGCGTGATGCATGTACGAAATATAAATTATTAATTACATTTATTTTTTTATCACGCGTATCATAATGACAGTCCTTACTGCCTACGTAGATTATAAATGTGAAAGAATTATTTTATGGGCTTGATTAGTAGGTTATACCTTTATAACAAATATTGTAACATAAATAATAGATAAACAAATGATAATATGTATTAATATTGTTCGGAGCAACGCAACCGAACAGCTCAGTATTTTACGTGCAAACATTTTATAAAATGTATCGAATTTTACGTTTAGAAGTAGTACTTAATTACCGGTAAACTCGTACAAATCAAATCATCATTTAAACCTTTTTTTGGAAAATTTAATAAATTCATAAATCAACCATAAATTAGTATATTTTTATCTCACCATTGAAAAACGATTACATCCATGCATATATATATATACGTATATTTTTACGCTGTATTTGTACTGTAGAATATTTTTTTAGTATCTATATTTATAAAGTCTATATATGTTATTTGTTACACATGCCTATTTTTTCACCGATTTTCTATGTTGACTGGGAGAGAATGCCATGTGGCATTAATGTCTGCCTTATGTGCCGTCACTTATTTCTGTGTACATTAAACGTTAAATAAATAAATAAATAATCCTTAATCTACAAAATGTATAGAAAGGCATTCGCTTCGAACGTAGTGACGCACCTTTTTTACAAATATAAATTCTGAAGTTTTATGTTTGACTATATAGTTGATACAGTATGATCAATGAGAGATTACTGTTTGTAATAAAACCATAGTTCGAGAAAATGTTTATATTTATGATAAGATCAAGTGAATTTTACTTTGCAAGGATCTAGTGTATACAATATCACACAAAAAAAGTTAGCGAATTTTCATATCTTTAAAGATCAACAACTTTGATATATTATATTGACTTTAAACCTTTTACAAAGTTGCCATTCTTATATCCAAGGTTAGCAGGTTGTATGAAACTCTTGTAAAACAATAGCTCTATAGAAATCGATTCTTTGTTGAACTTAGATCAAGGGCGATGTGTTAAGATGTGAATCTTAAGGTTAACGCAAGGTTTTTTGTAAAAATACTTTTTTATGACATGAAAGTGATAGGTTTAAGCGCCGTATTCTCATTTAATTTAAAATTAATCTAATCTTTTTCATACATTAATAATTTTCTAATTTCTAACATAGGATAATCTTCAGATTCAGACATATAGTATGTATAGTTTTTAAGCTCTTAAAACTCCATACTGATATTTGTACACACATATCAATTCAATAAGTTGATCTCTGACTGCCTCGTCGGCCGAGTAGTCGCAAGTGCGACTACCGGGCAAGGGGTCTCGGGTTCGATTCCCGGGTTGGGCAAAATATTACTGGGTTTTAAAAAAAATCTCAGTAGTAGAACGGAGTCTGAAAATGTGCCCGGTATATGGTAATAGGCTCACCCCTATTACATGGGACTCATAACATAAATAGTGAAAAGTGGGTGCCACTTCTGTGTGCACTTATGTCTACCCTTTCGGGGATAAAAGGCGTGATGTTATGTTATGTAAGTTGATTTCTCTAGGACTCAAATTCAGGTGATTTAAACGCCATTTTAAAACTCGAATAGAAAATTCGTTTGAAATCCGACATGAACGTAACAACTAGCTAGACTAACGTGACGTAATTATTTAATTGGATTTTGACAGTTCAATTGCCTATAATTGCTTAATCCTCAGTAACATATTGCGAGTGTCAGTAATCCGACAGATTACCTACCCTGCAAGGATTCCAAAATGATCGATATATGTAGGTTTGTAGGTACAGTAATATTGTTGACAATAGGATTATTGTTGAATTTAGGACAAAAAGTTAAAGTGGTCTAGACTTTTCCTAATACATACACATCACGCCTTTTATCCCCGAAGGGGTAAGCAGAGGTATACATTACGCCACTGTACAATGTAACACCCACTTTTCACTATTTATGTTATGAGTCCCATGTAATAGGGGGTGAGGCTATTGCCATATACCGGGCACAATTCCAGACTCCGTGCTACTACTGAGAATTTTTAAAAAACCCAGTAATACTTTGCCCGACCCGGGAATCGAACCCGAGACCCCTTACCCGGCAGTCGCACTTGCGACCACTGGGACAGCGAAGTAGTTCCTAAACATTATTTCAATATAATACACACTACACCAAAAGGGCTAATAAAGCCCCTTCTTTGTCGTATCACTCTTAGCAGAGCGGCCGTGGTCACGTTAAGGCGGCCGTATTTGGGTTTGGAGGCCGATACTACTTTCCTCACGATCTCCCGCCATCTCTTCCTGTTTGTGGATTATCTGGCGCAGTCTATCACTGGGTTTCCTGTTGCCGATTTGACTTGATCAGCTTAGAGCATAGGTGATCTGCCTCGTGATCTGGGTTCCCTCTACTTTCCCCTGAACGACCAGCCGCTCTATGGAGTTGTTATCACAACGGGAGACATGGCCGAAGTACTGCAGTATGCGCGTCTGTACTACGGTTGATAGACACTTTGTGATGCCGAGTTCTCGGAGTATGGATACATTGGTGCGGAACTCAGTCCACGATACACCAAGCATCTTCCTCCAACACCACATCTCTAGAGCTTCTATCTTCCACTTTTCCAATTCATATACTGTTCATGTCTGTCTGTAATCTGTCATTAATTTCTCTTAATGTAACGCTACCTATATTATTTTAATTTACGAAAATATTTCAATCTAAAATAGCAACTCAAAAAAGGACGTGCAAAATGCACATCGTTGAACTGCAAACAAGTAAAAAATTATACAGTTTTTCTGGATTTTCATCATTCATTTTCCGATTCTGTTATTACATAGCTCGTATTTTCCGTAAAACTTTTTGTATGGGCCACTGACACGCCGAGTTTGAAACATGGTGGTTCCATGAATAATGGCTAAAGTTGAAAGAGTTTAAATTTGAACTGTCCGTATTTCGGCTGAATATTAATATCGCGGATTCTAGTTGGCATTCATAATGAAA